AAAGGCGCTATGCATGTGAAATTCTTACGCGATTCAGCATGTTGGATAGCAACCTTGTCAAGAATCCTATTGTACCAGGAACAATACTATCTAAAGATGAAACAGGAAGTCCAGTCGATGCTACACAATTTAAACAAGCCATTGGCAGCCTTATGTACTTGACAGTTACAAGACCAGACTTGATGTTTGGAGTTAGTGTGGTCAGTAGATACATGGCCAATCCTAAAGAGTCCCACTGGGCAGTAATTAAACGTATCTTCAGGTATCTCAAAGGGACCATTGAACACGGTCTCTTTTATCAAAAAGGAAGAAAGATAAATTTCACAGCCTATAGTGACAACAACTATGCAGGAGATCCAGATGACAGAAGAAGCACTTCCGGATCAGTGTTTATAATGGGAACTGCAGCTGTATCATGGGCTTCAAAGAAACAGCCAGTGGTAAGCCTCTCAACCACTGAGGCCGAATACATTGCTGCAGCTCACTGTGCGTGTCAATGTATCTGGCTCAAAAGAATTCTACAACATATTGGAATAGAGGAACAAGAAATCACCGAGATTCTTTGTGACAACAATTCTACTATTCAACTATCCAAAAATCATGTCTTTCATGGCCGAAGTAAACATATTGCAGTGAAATTTCATTTCCTCAGAGATTTAGTTAATGATCAAATAGTTAAATTAAGATTCTGCAGTACAAAAGAACAAATAGCTGATATCATGATCAAAACTCTAAAACTTGATCAATTTGAAAAAATCAGAAACATGCTTGGAGTATTCAAGATTGATGAAGTAAGCTAAGCTTAAGGGAGGGATTGTTAGTGTTAGTTACTTTATGCTTTACGTATCAATAACTATTCTTATTTTATAGGATGTACTGGGTCAGTTGTTTCCTTATTTTATACCTCCTATTATGTTGCAGTAACAACAGTAAAACTGTTATTATTCTGTTTTGAGTCTGTAGGCTATAAAAGCAAATACCTTCACACTTAAATAAATACTGAGTTTTATGCATATACTGAATTATAACATAATGGTATGTTTAAGGTTAATACCATGTATTATATAAATGTTTTACAAGACACAAATATCGATGAAAACTTTTCTTTTAACCATTTATCTACATTTACAACTTGTGTTGTATCTAAATCTTCAACCCTAATACTCTAAATCCTAAATATATTTTGACATGACCGATGTGTTATTTGTTACACAGCAAAAAATCTCATGAAGAAATTCATAATATGAAACATACGGAATAATAGGAATTGCGAACCCCTAATTTAAAACATAAGTATTAAATTATAAGATTTTAAGAGATATTGTGCAAAACTCATTTATTTGAGCCACATGTTTGATAATTGAGAGGGTTAATTTTTTTTATTTTTTAAAAAATTGATCGGTGATAATAAACAATATTATAATTGTAATTATTGTGGCATTTTATTTGCGCTTTCATTTACAGTCACCTGGTTGGAACGAGTAAATGAATATATTTAAAACTTTTATTTTATGAAAAAGTGAATCAATGTTATAAATAATATATTTTTAGAAAAATATTTAAATAATTTTTTTAAGTTTATTTATTCAACTAGATCAGTTTGTAATTTATACACAAAATTTAATAAAGGAAAATAAATTCTTCTAATATTTATTTTTCCTCTTTCTTTCTTTCTTTATTTTTATTTCTTTCTCTCTTTTTATTTACTTCTTATTTTTTTTTCTCTATGTCTATTTAGTGTTTATTCATTTTTTTTCTCTTTTCTACTCTTTTGGTCTTCTCTCATTCCATCTTAAAATAGTAGATTGAAAATTGATAAAATAAGTCTTTTATTATTATTAAAAAATAAAAATATTTAAATAATCTAGAAATACTACATATAATTTAATATATTATATTTAAAAATATTATATGATAAATTTAAAATATTATAAATATTATTGTTATATTATAATCATTAAGAAAAAAATTAATTTTTAAAAACTATTTTTTAAAATTACCTAATCTAACTAATTATCATAACTCAACCTAATTATAACTAGATTAAATTATTAAATAAAAAATATATTTAATTTATAAATATTTGATATTTTTTAATTAGATGAATAATTATTTATCATGATAAAATAATTTTTTTATTTAATGTTAAAATAAATAAATTATTTATTTTTATTATAATTTTAAATAATTATTTAACATTTTTTAGTTTCATTTTTTATTTTAAAACATTTATTTTTTAATATATTTTTATTAAATTTTCATATAGTAGTTTAATTAAAAAAAAAATAAGGGAAGGAAGAGAGATAAAAATAAGAGACCTAAAATAGAAAAGAGAAAAAAAAAACTACTTATGAATGATAAACAAGTCTACTTGAATAAATAGATTGATACATGTTGAATAATTTTTTTTAAATATATTATTTATAGGATTTTTTTGTAGAAAATTTATATTTAAATAATAATTATAAAATTATTAAAATGTATAATTTAGGATTAATATGTAAAAAAAATTATTCAAATCATTAAAACAATCCATTTTAATCGCGGAAGAAAATCAGTCACCAAATTATCTAAATCTGAATTAAATAATAACAAATTATGAGGGAAAATTATTTTTCACAAAAGCAAATGTCACAAAATATTGTCACATTTTTTTAAAATTATTATTATCATCTTTTGTATTCAGAGAATATTAATATATAATATATATGATTAATGAATTTTGAAATCACAGTAGAAATGTCAAAATTGTTAATAATAATAACTTATATATATATATATATATATATATATATATATATATAAAATAAAATTTAAGAATAACTTGTGAATCAAGACATTTTTAATATATTTTCAAAGAAAATTTCGCTATAAGTAATTTTTAGTCGCAAATTTATGTGTCATTTAATGCCGTATGTTTGTGACAGATTTAATTTGATAGAGGGTTATAATATATTGTCAATCTACTTTTTCTAAAATTCTATTCAACTGATATTTTTAAATTTTTATATTATTAGTTATTTATATGTTTTTCATTCTTTATCAATAAAAAATATATTTTAAGGTGATATATATATATATATATATATATATATATATATATATATATATAATGTTTAGAAAAAGTAGGTGTCAAAACAATTTAAATTGTGAACGATAGGATAAAAAGATGCATGGATTTTAAATCTGTATCATTTTTTTAATAATTTTTTATTTACTATAATATAATAAATAAACAACATTAGCATTCAAATGTTTTGCATATTAGAAAAGGTCTTAAAGTACCAATTTATTGTTTCCTATTCTAACAAAAAACAATAGAAACATATCAGTATATATAAAATTAGGATAGAATTCTAATAAGTGAATAAACCGTAAAATTTTCATTTTCATTTTCGTTATCATCTAATTCTTCTTATTTTCACTTTTTAGGAGGTTAAATGAGTGATGTTGTTTGAATAAGTGAAAAATTTTATGTAAGTTAAATCATTTCATGAGAGTCTTCTTTTACTGATATCAATGTGATGATGAGATGTCATTATATGAGATGTTAAAGATTTTGTAGCACACTGAATTGATTGAGATGTTTATTAACATAAGAGAAAGTCTCCATATATAGATATCAAAGATTAAATTAGAATGTCAACAAATTAAATTTGCTAAAGTATATACTAATATTAATTCATTGCTAAGTTTCTATATATTTTCATAATGTCAAATTGAACTATAAGAACCTGATACATTTTGTGAAATACATCCCCCTTGACCTTGCTGGAAACTATAATAAAACTTGTTTAGTGGTATATTGCCTAACTTTATTCAATGTCACTCATTGATGGACTATTATTATTTACACTTATCAAGTATCAAGTTTGTCAACCCTATGGAGTTTTTTTTTTTTTTTTTTTTCATTTTTGTAGAATAATATTATAAAAAGATATATTTAGAGAAAAATGTATAAATACAATAATTTACTAATATAAGGTTGATATGAAAACAAGAGAAGGAAGGAAAAAGAAAGAAAGAAAGAATGAAAATAATTAGGGTTAGGTTGAATGAACATACGATGAAATATATCAGTATTTATTTCTTTATTTTTATTTTGAACATTTAATTTCTAATTTTATTTTTATTTTTATTACCTCTATTTCTTTTCTTTAATATTTTTAAAAGATATTTTTATTCTTTTTTTTTAAAATATGTAGAGTCCCTTTCAACCTAATCAGAAGTTTTGGCAGCCTAACTTAATTATGTCTATTATTTAGAGAGGTGCAGCTTATGATGTGGCTAAATCATCTCAAAGACATTAGAAAAATAAAAGTAAAAAGTCGTCTAATAAATAGGTATTTTATATAAAAAAATATAATAAATAATAAATTTAATAAGATAATTACAATAGTATTGTAATTAATATAATAAGGATTTCTAAAAATTTTAATTAGGGATTAAATATTTTTACCCTATAAAATGAATGATTTTTTTTTGTTCCTTGTCATTTTTTTTTCATAAATTTAAAATACTAATTTTATCTCAAATATTATGTTATACTGAATAAACTAGCTACCTACATGCTAAACAAAAGATAAGTGATAATTTCAAATGACAGATTAATAATATTATAATTTTATATAGGTTGTTAAATCTAAAAAAATTTCTTAATATCCCTAAAATAAATATTTATCATTAAAAACAGCTCTATTAATGTTAATTGGTTGATCATTAAACACTATCAATATTAGTAGGTTGGTCATTAAACACTATTAATATTTGTTGAATATCATGTTAACGAAACAAACCAAAAGATTTTACACGTCTGCATAAATATTCATATATAGAACACACGTACGTAGCCTTCACGATCATCTAATTATTAGTAATTTTTGAGTAAGATTGGATATATGCATGTGATGTAAAAGACTATAAAGTCGTAGAAAAAACAATTAATTGTAATCCTCATGTTTCTCAAGAATACACAATACTTTCTCCTCTGTTCTCTGACCATGGATTCTCAACTACTTAACGTGTTAGCCCTTATCGTGTCCTTTCTCCTCTTCATAGTTTTGGCACTCAAAATAACGAGCAATCTCATCAAAACTGAGCCATCTCCAAACATACCTCCAGGACCATGGAAGCTACCTATCATAGGAAACATACACAATCTTGTTACATCAACACCACACCGAAAACTCACAGACTTGGCCAAAATATATGGCCCCTTGATGCATCTCCAACTTGGGGAGATCTTCACCATCGTTGTTTCCTCAGCTGAGTATGCTAAGGAGATCATGAATACCAAATATCTCATCTTTGCATCAAGGCCTCACATCCTAGCTGCAGATATACTGTTTTATGGATCCACCGATATTGTTTTTTGTCCTTACGGAAATTATTGGAGACAGCTACGAAAAATATGCACAATGGAACTTTTAACCCAAAACCGTGTCAACTCATTCCAGCCAATAAGAGAAGAAGAACTCACTAGCCTTGTCAAAATCATTGATTCACACAAAGGGTCTTCCTTCAACCTCACTAAAGCAGTACTTTCATCAATATATCATATCATTTCAAGAGCTGCGTTTGGCATGAAAAGCAAAAACCAAGATTCATTTCTGTGCTAAAAGAAATGCCACTTGGTGCAGGTTTTAGCGTAGGAGATCTATTTCCTTCTGCTAAATGGCTTCAACTTGTCACTGGTTTGAGGCCTCAGCTTGAGAAGGTGCATCGACAAATGGATCGGACATTGGAAGATATCATCAATGAACACAAAAAGCAAAAGTCAAAGGATAAATATGGCCAAGGTGAAGCAGAGGAAGATTTGGTAGATGTTCTCCTAAAATTCCTGGATGGAAATGGAAGCAACCAGGACTTTTGCTTAACTATGAACAATATCAAAGCTATAATTCTGGTAAGAATAAACACATTTTTGTAATTTATGAAGATAATCTTGCTCCTGCAAAACATGTCAATCCTTCATTGATAAGATAATCTTGCTCCTTTTAACAGAACCTATGCAGTTGATGGGTGGGCTCACTAATTTATTTTTATATTTAAATTTAATATATATAATTTATTAATACCAGAAAATTATTTATATTTTATAATTAAATTTTTATATTTATTTTTTATTGCAAAAATAATTATATTCATTTATCTTTTTTTTAAAAAAATTCTTATGTTTTTTTTTTCTCATATGTTAATTTTAGAGGTATAACTAATTATATTTGCAAGATTTATTTGTCTTTCTTTTATTATATAGTTTACTTAAAAGTACTAGATGAAAGGAATTATAGTTTACGGTTGACACAGTAAAAAATATTTTCTTTCCTATAATTTTTTTATATAATTTTATTTCAATACATTTATGCAATTTTTTATTTATATGTTTTTCTAAAGAAGAAGACAAGAGTAAACAAGAAATAAATCAAAATTAATATTCAAAATTAATATAACTAAAACAAAACTTAAAATTATAAAAATTTTGACATTTTAAGAACTCCTGAGGGAGGAGTCGAATATTAGTATAATTGTTATTTTTATAATAAAATTTATTTTTTTATTTTATATTATTTTTAATTATGACAAATTTTTTTCTTTCGGAATTATATATATATATATATATATATATATATATATATATATATATATTTTGTACTCTTTTTTAAAGTAAGAAATTCTTAATAAAAACAATGAAGTTTATTATTACTAAATCCAAATATGCTTATTTTTGACATTATAAATTATGTTATGTTTCGACTCTATTTTTCGTATTATTTTCCAACAATACACTACAAAAAAACACTTATTATCTACGGGTAAAATCCGTAGGTAATGTCACTTTACCTACGGATTTATAATCCGTAGGTAATGCACTCACCTTAACAAAACAAAATATTTTTATTTATTACAACCCCTCCCTTATTTTTTATTATTACCTAGAACCCCCTCCCCTTTATATCATATTTTTGAAACTTTGAATTATTATTAGATTAAGGGAATTGTCATTGGCAGGATTCAAACCCAGTACCTCGAGTTGGAGGTCGATACTCCAACCACTAAGCTATTAGAATATATTTTGAAAATAATTTACAAATAAATTATATTTATATTTATCCGATCTAAATATATAAATATAAAATATATATAAATATAAAAAATATATATAAATATAAAAAATATATATAAATATAAAATATAAAATATATAAATATATAAATATAAAATATATTTATATTTTGATATATTTATATATTTATACATTTATACATTTGTATTTATATATTTATATTTATATATTTATATATTTATATTTATATATTTATGTATTTATATATTTATGTATTTATATATTTATATATTTATCTATTTATATATTTATGTATTTATGTATTCATATATTTATGTATTTATATATTTATGTATTTATGTATTTATGTATTTATGTGTATTTATATATTTATATATTTATATATTTATATATTTATATATTTATATATTTATATATTTATATATTTATATATTTATATATTTATATATTTATATATTTATATATTTATATATTTATATATTTATATATTTATATATTTATATATTTATATATTTATATATTTATATATTTATATATTTATATATTTATACATTTATATATTTATACATTTATATATTTATACATTTATATATTTATACATTTATATATTTATATATTTATATATTTATATATTTATATATTTATATATTTATATATTTATATATTTATATATTTAAATATTTAAATATTTAAATATTTATATATTTATGTATTTACGTATTTATGTATTTATGTATTTATGTATTTATGTATTTATGTATTTATATATTTATATATTTATATATAAATATATTTATATATTTGTATATTTATATATAAATATATTTATATATTTGTATATTTATATATTTGTATATTTATATATTTGTATATTTATATATTTGTATATTTATATATTTGTATATTTATATATTTATATATTTATATATTTTATATTTATATATTTATATATTTTATATTTATATATTTATATATTTATATATTTATATATTTATATATTTATATATTTACACGAATTAATATAAGTATAATTTAGTTGTAAATTATTATTAGAATATCCTAATAGTTTAGTGGTTGAAGTATCAGTTTTCAACTTTAAGGTATTGAGTTCGATTCTTGCTATTGACAATTCTTTTAGTTTAATATAATTTACCTATGGATAGTAATTCCGTAGGTAATTACCTACGGAATTACCCACGGATGATATTACCTACGGATAATATCCGTAGGTAATGGATAATTACTCACGGATAGAATTTTGTAGGTAATGTACACTTTACCTACGGATAGTAATTACGTAGGTAATTACCTACGGAATTATCCACGGATTACATTACCTACGGATAATATCCGTAGGTAATGGATAATTACCTACGGATAGAATTCTGTAGGTAATATCCGTAGGTAATGTACAATTTACCTACGGATTTTCATCCGTGGGTAATATCCGTAGGTATTGTAAAATTTACCTACGGATTTTCATCCGTGGGTAATATCCGTAGGTAATGTAAAATTTATCTACGGATTTGTATCCGTAGGTAATATTCCGTAGGTAATAGGGTTTTTTTTTTGTAGTGAATACCATTTTATCTCTTATTATGTAAATCTTTCTCCTTGTGACATTTGTTATTTTGCTAAACAACGCAAATTATCCCATCATAATAATGAAACACAATCACATAAAATTTTTTACATTATTGATGGAGACCATATTTTGTATCTTATAAATTCTGGTTACAAATATTTTCTCATTTTAATTGATGATTACTCATGTTTTACTTGGATGAAATTTATGAAATCCAAATCTAAAACCCGCACGTATTTAATACATTTTATTTCATTGATTGAAACTCAATTTCATACTAAACTCAAATGTTTTTAAGTGAAAATGTAGTAGAATTTTTATTAACTGATTTTTTTTCATTCAAAGGTATTATTCATCAAAGAACTTGTGTTGAAACGTCTCAACAAAATAGTGATGTTGAACGCAAACATCAACATATTTTAAATATAGCTCGATCATTGTTTTACCAAGCTCAACTACATCACATCTGTTCAAAAAGTTGTTCATATCATTAATAGATTACCTACTCCATTATTGCATTTTAAATGTGCTTATGCAGTGTTATATGATAAACTACTTAGCATGATTTATTTAAAGATTTTTTGCTGTCTTGTTTATGCCATTACGCTTAAATTTCAGCCCTGTGCCAGCAAAATTGTTTTCTTGGGATATAAGGAAGGTACTAAAGGTTACGTTATGTATGATCTCCATAGCTATCAATTTTTTCTTTCAAAAAATGTCATTCTTTATAAAACTATGTTTTCTTTTCATTCCTCCACCACTCATTTCCTCAACTTCTTCTATTTTTCCTCTATTATCTGATATATCCTCTCCTGCGAATACCTTATCCTTGCTCGAGTTTATTCATCACCCTCCTGTTACAGACATTCCATCTATTATAAATTATAACCAGAACCTTAGTTCTCCTGCCCTGATATGAATCTCAATTACACAAGGGCTAATTTAAGGTTAGAACCTTGTAAGAAATTTAGGAATTAGAAAGAAGGTAGAAGGAAAAAATCACTCTTCTCAAGGGAGGTAACACACAAAGGATGTGAAAGTCCTTTGATACAGCCGAGGGTTCTTGTATCACTCAAGAATTTAGGAGAATCACTCTCACTACGATAAAAGAGATAAACTATAATATTTCTGAATAAAATTTCACTTGCTATTTCTTGATAAAAATGGTTCAACTGATATAGAGACGTTGTCATTAGAATTACAAAGACTCAATAAAAGAAAATAAATACTAATAATAACCTATTAATCTAGGAATTAAAAACTATTTAATGGAAACAAATAAAGGCTAATAATGATCCATTAGCCTAGGAATTGAACTACTTAATGACTGATTGTATCTGAAACTGTGACAACCAAAAGTCAATCAACTATGCACCCCTTGGTCTCCCAAAGGCTGATGACTAAATTTTCAATTGGGTCCTTATTACAACTTAAAACAAAATCAAATTAAAGCCCATTAATTGATTAATTCAAAACATAATTTGGTCAACCAATAATACTTGTTGATGAACTTCATTTGCTTCTCTTGCTCTAACCCTTGTCATAGGTCATATCCACATCATTCTCTCCCTTTTGAGAAATATTTGTCTTCAAATCGAATTCGTCATCTACATAAAAAAGAGATAAGTCTGACAAATTGAATGTAAAATTTACATTATACTCACTTTTTATGGCTAAATAGTTCTCCCTCACTTCAAGTGTTTCACTCTTCTTTTGATCACTTTTTTTCCTCTCAAGTGTTTCACTAACGCTTTCTTTCTCTCTCTTTTCTTGAAGAAGTTTTTCTCTCATTTTCCTTTTATCCTCACACACTTCTTGTGGACTCAAAGGTTTGAGCATAATCTTCTTGTCTTGGTGCATGAAAGAGATCTTGTTGGTGAACCCGTTATGATTAACTCTTTTATCAAATTGTCATGATCTCCTCAAAAGTAAGTGACTGACTTCCATAGGAACAATATCACAAAGCACCTTATCATTGTATTTTCCAATAGAAATGTCCACTTCAACTTGTTGTCTCACTTGCACCTCTCCATCCTTACTAAGCCATTGAAGTTTATATGGCCTAAGATATGGTTTGGTAGCTAAATTTAACTTTGATACTAATCTAGCACTAGCCACATTAGTGCAATTACCTCCATCTATGATCATCATGCACACCTTGTGGTTGATTAAACATCTAGTGTGAAAAATATTTTTTCTTTGGCTTTCTTCCATAGGTTTCAATTGATTATCAAGT